ACAAAAATGCAGATAGTCATGGAACTTACAATAAAAAAAATTACAAAATTTAAAAATCTAGTATGCCAGGTGGCACAATGGAGAAATATGAGGTAGAGAAGATGGTTAGGGAGTGCTGAGGCAAAATATGGCAATTCAGGCAAGACCTAAAGGAAGTGAGAGAGCCAGCTGTGGGTAGGGTGGCCACATCATTTATCATTCAATACGGGACACCTCTGAGATTGGAAGGGGACACTATTAATAGTCATCTGGGTCAACAAATTCAAACCAGGCCTGTCCTGGGCAAATGCAGACATATGGACCCTAACCATGATACTCTCTGGAATAAGGGCACAGCAGAGGGGAGAACAAGAGGAAGGACCTGAGATTCAGAGTGAGCCTGATCTCTCTGGGGAACCTCCAAAGTGAAGTGAGAGGGAGAAAGCAGGAGATGAGGACTGAGTGTAACAAGCAGCCACACGACATGAGGGGTCTATCCGCCACCATAATGCCTTGGCTTTTACTCCAGTGAGTTGGGAAGACCTTGGAAAATTTTGTGCAGAGAAGTTCATAATCCAAATTCTGTTTTAGAAAGGTCACTCTGATTTGTTGTGTTGAAAATAAACGATATGGAAGGGCAAGGGAGGAAGCCAAGACCAGGTAACACGCTACCACATCCAGGCAAAAGATGATGGTACCTTACGCCAGGCTGAGACTGATGGAAGTAAGACTATGGATATATCCTGAAGATCTGACATTAATCGGTTGGTTTTGCATATGGTTATAACCAATTAATGTGCGATATATGGTTATTAAAATTTGAATAATTTTTTCTAATTTATTTCAGTGGCTCATTAACATAATTGATCAGGTAGCATAAGGTCAAAGATGGGAGCCCAGTTCCCATGTGGCTATAGATCACCTCTTGATGACCACTAACCCCTTTGAAAACACATGCTATTGGTTATATAAGGGGACTGGGAAAGGGAAAAGATGACCCCACTTCACAGTATCACCCTGACTAAAAAACAACCCCAGGAGCCCCCACCATCTATGAGATGCCAAACATTCAGGGCATACACACACACACACACACACACACACACAATTAAGCCAGGTGTGGTGGTATGTGCCTGTAGTCCCAACAATTTGGGATGCTGAGGTGAAAGGATCCCAAAAGGTGAGGCTGCAGTGAGATCATGCTACTGTACTCTAGCCTGGACAACAAAGCAAGACCTTGTCTCTAAAAAAAAAAAAAAAAGACTCTGTATAATTAAATACTCGCACACCAATTAAACAATAATTTTGTGTGTTATTCAAATTTTTCTCACATATGGCAGCTTGGTCTTGGAAATATAAATTCATTTGTCCATAAATGTGTTAAACATTGAGTGGAGAAAATGAATAAAGATAAGCGCTTTCAGTCTACTGAGGAGACAGACATGGAAACAAGCAGTGGGATCACGACATGCCAAGTTGTACAATTGGGTTATGCATATGAAGCTGTGTGGAAACATGCCTAACACATTCCGGGAGGGCATGGGAAAGAAAGGGCAGGCTTCAAAGAAGAGGTATTGTTGGAGCTGAATCATAAAGACTGAGTTGATGCCTGCCAGTCAGAATCAGGGGTTAAGGACAGGGAAGAAGCATATTCTATAGAGAGGAACTTATCTATGCAAAGGAACACGAGGACACAGTTCTTTTCAGGAGCCATAAGAAATGCCTGGAATACAAAATATGTTATTGTAATGACAACAACAACAGCTCCTACTTGTTGAGTGCTCACCATGGATGTCAGCACTGTCCTAAGAATGTATGTGGATTATCACATTTAATAGTCAATCTCCAGCCAGGTGTGGTGGCTCATGCCTGTAATCCCAGCACTTCGCGAGGCTGAGATGGGCAGATCACATGAGGCCAGTAGTTTGAGACCAGCCTGGCCAACATGGCAAGACCCCATCTCTACTAAAAATATAAAAATTAGCTGGGGGTGGTAGTGCACACCTGTACTCCCAGCCACTTGGGAGGCTGAGGCAGGGGAATCACTTGAACCTGGGAGGCAGAGGTTGCAGAGAGCTGAGATCGCACCACTGCACTCAAGTCTAGGTGACAGAGTGAGTCTCCTTCTCAAAAAAAAAAAAGTCAATCTCCTCATGATGAAGACACTGAGATACCCAGAAATTAGTGTAGTAACTGGTCTGAGGGCTTCAGTGCTCATGACGTGGAGTCAGGCCTCATGTCCTAAGATCCTGGAGCCTGCACTCTTTCTACCTGCAGTACCATGTGGAAGAGGAGGCAGGTGAAGATACAAGCACAGGCAGGAGCCAGGTGATGATCAACACCATAGCCATGAAGAGCCATGGAAGGGTTTACATGTGGGAAGGAGTGGCTGATCAGATCTGCATCTGGAAACATCGGTGACAGTATGGACTATAAATCAGAAGGGATGAGAACAGAGCAGGAAGATCATTTTGAAGGCTACTGCAATAATCCTGGCCACAAATGACAAGAGTGTGAACAATGCAGTGAGAATGGAAGTGAGGAGCCAGTCAGAAGAAAGGAGCAGAAGAGGAGGCATGGGCTGGGGAACAGGGAGATATGAGTTTGGCTGTCAATGCATTAAGGATGAGGTACTTGGGGACCATCTGAGCAGAGAGGTCCATCAGGTGGACACACCTACAGCTCAGAAGCCCAAGAGAAGGCTGAGCCAGAGCTTCAGGTTACAGTAAATGCTTTTCCAATTTGAGTATGCCAGGGAACCCTTAGCTCACACAACAGTGTCATGTTAAAATCTTCCACAACCATTCCCAAATAAAGATTCTTTGAAACTTCTTTTCCCCAAAATGATTTTAAAATTCTAAAACAAATTTTCTGGGGGATTAACTGGTCTACCTGAGCTATCCCAGGCCCCAAACAACTTCCAAGACTACCTGGGTACATTCTGGTGCTGCTACTATCAGAACCTGTAATTCCCCCTGCTTCAGTTAACCAGTGAAACTACTTCAAGTACAGTCCAATGAGTCCCAGAGTAGCCCTCCTCGGTGCAACTCTACCCCAAACAGCCTGGGAGGCTCAAACTCTGTGTTCCTAAAAATGACTCTTTGGCATAGCAAAGCAATAGAAACACTGCCTCTCTAACCTCCTGAAGGTACTTTCAAATAATCTGGCAGCCAGAGGTAACATTTTCAGCCCTCTGAGTACAGGGACACAGTGTCTTCCTATCCCTACATTTTTATTCAATGTGTTTTCTCATCTAAAATAAATTAATGCTGGTGAGTAGGTTAACCAAAAAAATACGTTAATGAATTAATAAATGAAATAATAATCATTTAGGGATTCTCTTACTGCCAACCCAGTTTCCTAGCCTTAGACATAGGCCTCTAGGAGTATTGTTGGATGAACCTACCAATGAATAAAGGAAAACATCATCAACCAACTTGATATAACTTCATTTTCACGACACCTTTCTTTTTTTTTCTTTTTGAGACGAAGTCTTGCTCTGTCGCCCAGGCTGGAATGCAGTGGCACAATCTCGACTCACTGCAACCTCCGCCTCCCAAGTTCAAGCAATTCTCCTGCCTCAACCTCCCAAGCAGCTGGGATGCCACCACACCCGGCTAATTTTTGTATTTTTAGTAGAGACGGGTTTCACCACGTTGACCAGGCTGGTCTCGAACTCCTGACCTCAGGTGATCCACCCACCTCGGCCTCCCAAAGTGCGAGGATTACAGATGTGAGCCACCGTGCCCAGTAATGACACCTTTCTTAAGCTACATTTTAGAAATTCAAGTTAGCTTACAGAACACTAAAGCATAACATAGTAGCCCAATTTTTTAAAAATTTTAATGTTTTTCACACTCATTTTGTACAATATCTGTCCTCTGAGGCTCCACACATGCTGCCTGTACTGATCCAAGCTCATGTTACCCTACCCCTTAAAGGTACTCTGAACAATGTCATGAAAAGAGGACAGCAGCCTGAGTCAGGATACCTGGCTATTGGTTTGAGAGGTTAGTTTAATATTTCTACCTCTTTAGACATTAAGTTGCCCATGTACAAAATATGTTTAATAACTTAAATATATTTTGATCACCCACTGGGGTGATCAGATAAGACAATAGATATAAAAGTATTTCCAAAAAGCATAAAACCAAAGTATCATACCAAACCAATTTCATACTGCTTCCCCCATCCACCCTGAAACTTCACCTTCTAACTGTCTACCTAACCAAATTCTACCCTTCAAGTCTTTGGTACATGTCACTTCTCTTTTTTTTTTTTTTGAGATGGAGTCTCGCTGTGTAGCCCAGGCTGGAGTACAACAGCGCAATCTTGGCTCACTACAACCTCTGCCTCCCAGGTTCAATAGATTCTCCTGCTTCAGCCTTCCCAATAGCTGGGACTACAGGTGTGCGCCACCATGCCTGGCTAATTTTCTTGTGTTTTTGGTAGAGATGGGGTTTTACCATGTTGGCCAGGCTGGTCTTGAACGCCTGACCTCAAGTGATTCACCCACCTCAGGCTCCCAAAGTGTTAGGATTACAGACATGAGCCACTGCGCCCAGTCCTGGTGCATGCTCACTTCTCTACGCAACTACGCAACCCTTCTCTTTTCTGGTCTTAAAACTGGACACATATTGTTCTCCTCTGGGTCTCTCCAGTTATGGAGAGTGGGTTTGCCCCCCATTGCCCCTGACAACCAAAAGCCCCTCTAGAGCACAGACCACTCCAGCTCTGTCCGTGGTGTTGCCCTCAACATGCTCCTAAGCAGCCCTCAATCACGACTCCATGACAGAATGATGATAAATGTGGCTTGACCAACATGTTCTCAGCTAAAAATGTAATGTGCAGCCCATTTTATAATTCCATGCATTATAGAGCACTGCTTCTAAATAGGTCACCCAAAAGTGTGGCTGAAATGATCCCAAAATAGACATGGCCCGGCTTTTCTGGCCCTGTGTCATTTCTAGATGTGAGCCTGATCTAAACATCCCAACTCTATTACCTCTTGGATTGGTTACCTGCACCACTGTTGCTAAGCAGACCGACAGAAAGTTCTTCTGTTCCACTGAAGTTCAAGAAGGACATGCCGTCACCAGGCTGGCGGGAATTGCTGTGCCTGCAGAGAACAGAGCCCAGCCACCTGGCTTAATGTAGATCATCACCTCTTTTTCCTGCTCACCCTATATCCCGGGGGTGGGGGAAGTTCATAAAAATCAGGCCTGAATATTCAGCCACTCAAGCTGGCAGCCACTGGAATCCTTATCTTAAGCCACCAGGCCACAGTGTTTGGTTTGTGTGTCAGTGCTGGTTTCCTGTGACCCTGGCACCCCGGCTGCTTTCCCACCACCAAGCTAGACCACCCACCCTGTCTGCCCTATGCCTCCCTCTTACAAATAAGGATGGGTGTGAGGTGCTTGAATATATGGACCTGAGTTCATCTGGTTAAGAAGGTCATGCCCTCCCCATATCCCTTATCTATCCCCTAGGGAGTCAAGGTGACTGAAAGAGGGGCCAAAGACTGCACTTTGCAAAGTGTTTTCTAAAGCAAGAGGAATAGTGAGTCCAGGTGTAACCCAGGCTCACGCCTGTCGAGGCTTAAATGACTTTCCTCCTATACTGACTCTCATTAGATGCTCGTAATACATTAGAGCTTTGGTTCAAAAAGAGTTTTTCTATAAACATAAGCCTTCATTTCCATTGCTCTTAGCATTAACTTCTTCTAAACTCAACAGTGGGATTTATTTCTGAATAACCAAAATGACAAAAGTCACAGAGAGGTTGCCCAAAACACACAGCAGGAATCTCCTGTCCCAACATTCCAAATCCAAAGAATTTCCTGTCTCAGATTCATCTTTGACTGAGGTTTAGAAAAACCCACGTTTGAGGTTTACAAAGTGTGCTTTGGATTCAAGATAAACCTAAAACAGGGCCTAGGTAACATCTCAGACAAAAATGTCAGGCTGTTTGCTTTGCCCTTCACCAAGTGAAGGGAATGACACTGGCCAACAAAGGAAGGCCCTGATCTCATACTGTCTTTTCAAGTCTTCTAAACGTTTTGTCAATAGTCTGTTCTGCACATTGTCCTGGATGCTGGAGAGTGTTCTCAGGTTACCTTCCAGAGCCCTGTGCACATCCTCACCTTCCAGCAGCTTCATGATATGCTAACTCCAGCAGCTCTGCAGAGGAATGAGTTGGGTCCCTCTGCCCACTGCCTTGCAGCTCCGCCATATTCTGTCGGGTCTGGTGGTGGATCTGGATGGCTTCTCCGGATGGTCCTACCCAGATAAAGAACCACTGAGCATCATTCCCACCTGATAGCTAGTGCTGTGCACTTAACTATACTCTCTCTTCTTTCCAGCTACTGGGATACAGATGTTGGTGAGCTAGAACGTTATACAAGGGACCCTCTGGCTCCCAGAGGAACCTGCTCTTCTGAGCGGGACCCATCCTACTAAGGGGCCGGGCCTTTATCATCCTGTCTAATCTGTTAAGAAAATTTTAGGATATTCTGTCTCATGTGTGTCAACTGAATCACCACAGTGAAATATACAAGTATAGGAGGCATGGACCCTTGCCAGGAGAGCTAACACAAACTCAGTAAGAGGGAAATACAAGTGAAACACCAAATGACTCTGTTAATACCTAGGAGAGTAACAACTGTGATTCTAAGAAGCAGAAGATGTCTAAGTGCAAAAGAGGCAGAGTAGGAGATAAATTAGAATTAGTCAAGTCTACAAAACGAGGCTTCCTGGGGAAAGAGAAGTTGAAGAGCTAAGTGTTCAACAAAGTTAACAGCGGTTGAAGGAAGAGGGCACCTGGGTAGACGAAATGATACCTGTGAAACTCCAAACCTGAAAGAGGCAAAACATGCAGGAGACCACAAGATTAGCCAAGAAGGAAGAGAGCCTCTGAGGATAGGAATGAAGAAGATAGGGGAGCCTGATGAAGGAGGGCCTTGGCTACTGAAAGGCCAGCTAAAGAGGAGAAAGAAGCAAAGCAAACTGTTTGCAGAACATGGTTCCAATAAAGTATACATGAAGAGTGGGAGGAGAAGCACAGAAGCATGAAAAGCTGAAGGTCACTGAAGAAACACCAAGAGTTCTAAGTGACCTAGAAGGGAACCAGTGGAGATAATAATGGAGGGGAAAGGACACAGAAAGAAACAAGGAGTGTGACTGATTATAGCAGAGATAAGGGGGCAGAATGGGGTTTAGGCATGACCCCCAGTTACAGTCAAATTATTCAGATCTATTTCTCACTGATTTAACTTTCAAATATTAAAGACAAGTACAAAAGAAAATAGGCATTTCCAGGTATTCAGCAGGATGGTTTCCATGAAAAAAATAAAATAAAAATTTCGCCAGGCACGGTGACTCACACCTGTAATGCCAGCAAATTGGGAAGCTGGGGGCGGGTGGATTGCTTGAGACCAGGAGTTCGAGACCAGCCTGACCAACACGGTGAAACCCCATTTCTACTAAAAATACAAAAATTAGCCAGGCATGGTGGTGCATTCCTGTAATCCCAACTACTTGGAAGGCTGAGGCAGGAGAATCGTTTGAACCCGAAAGGCAGAGACTGCAGGTATCCGAGATTACGCCACTATATTCCAGCCTGGGTAACAGAGTAAGACATTGTCTCACACACATACACACAAAATCCTGGAGTTTAATGCATTTGTTCCTTTCCAGCTCAATAAGAGCCCATTAAGCTAAAGTTTAACTTTAGCCACAGCTTGAGAAAACCTTACTGTCTTCTTGAGAACGGAATATAGATAAGGAAGAATGGACTAGGAAAAAGTGAGTTTGGGGGAAAATTTTTTTTTCAGTTGTCAGAGACACCTAAGAGAAAACAAAATAACATAACTCCTTGTAACCAAGACAGGATATTAGTATCCAAGAGAGCTAAGAGAAGAAAGAATGAACAAGAATGAGGGACATCCAACTTAGGAAAGAAAGCAGGTGGCAATGCATAGTTCCTCTCAAATAGAAACAAAGAGCCGGATGCGGTGGCTCACACCTATAATCCCAGCCCTTTGGGAGGTTAAGGTGGGCAGATTGCTTGTGTCCAGGAGTTCAAGACCAGCCCACGCAACATGGTGAAACCCTGTCTCTACTAAAAATACAAAAAACTAGCCAGACATGGTGGCACGTGCCTGTAGTCCCAGCTACTTGGGAGGCTGAAGTGGCAGCATCACCTGAGCCCCGAAGGTTGAGGCTGCAGTGAGCTGAGATAGCACCACTGCACTCCAGCCTGGGCAACTAGAGAGTGACCCTGTCTCGAAAAAAAAAAAAAGCTGAAACAAACAAACAAAAAAGCCCTCAGGTTTATAAAGCTAATTAGTTACAAAGCCTATTCCCAAGTGCATCTTCAAGGATCTTTACAAGAACCCCTGGGATGGCCAAAGTGGGCATGGTTATCCCATCTTACTGGTGGAGTAACACAGGCACTTGACCAAGGACACATGGGTGACCGACACTGAAGACCAGGGCTAGGAGTTCCTAGTCCAAGGCTCTCTCTTAAGCAACAAACTTACCCACAGGAAAAGTGTGCATCCAGCGCCTTCTGTTGGATGTAAGCTTCATGGGCATTCGAGAGGGAGCGAAGGGGTTAATCAGTGCTCTCTGGGGCGTGTATCCACCTGGTCGAACATGCAGCATGGATTCTGCACTGCCAACGTGGAACCTCCCTGGTGCACTGGAGTCTCGCTGTGGTGGCTCCATCATGTTCTCCAGGACATCTGCCAGTTATCATGGAGTTGAGTCACAAAGAAAAACCACAGAACCACAGTGAAACCAGAACTAGGTAGACTGATAAGCCAAGGCTGACAAGAATCTTGGGCATCATAAATGTCAGGGAGTGAGAGAAATTAGTAAAATTGTCAAACTATAAAGAAATGAAGTACGTTTCCATTTGCTTGCTTTTAAATACTTGGGAGAAGGGAGTTTTGGTTCTAAATTACTGGCACAATGAAGTCACAACCAAATCTGATGGGAAGGACACTGCCTAGAGATCCTGAACTTTGAGCTGGAAGCAATGACTGAATGATGGGACTTGAGTTGTCTCCCTTGGGAAAGGAACGAGTATATTCTCTAAGAGGGAGGAACAATAAAAACAGCTATGTGGTAACCAGAAGGGCAGATCTTGGCAGAGCTAGTCAGTATCTCCACTATAAACCCATTTGATTTTCCTACTGGACACAAGACTATAGTTCCCAGCCTCTTTGCAATAAAGTCAAATGACTTAGTTCCGGCCAGCAGACCACAGGTAGAAATGATATGCTTCAAATCCAGGCCTGGGCCACAATTATCTCCATGAACGATGTGCATTCTTTTTCCCTTTGTGGAAGCCTAGGTTCATAATCATGGCATCCCAGGATGGAAGGAACCTGAGTTCCTGAATGACTGAGTGGATCAATAGACCCTCCACTGACTTAGTGGGCTGGGACATGAGTAAGCAATCAAATGGTATTATGCTAAAAAAAAATTACTGAGAAAAAAAGAATGAAGAAATGGACGCCTCCAGCCTTGACCAGGCAAGGAGATGGTATGATATTTAGACTCCACCCGTCTGGCACAATGGCAGACAGGTCTCATTATGGAGACAGAGACAGCATGCCTGAGTGGATCGAAGAACTGAAATCCACAACCAACTCTTCTTGTGTGTATCCCATATTCACTAAGCAACCACCTAGATGAAAAAGTGGGTCCAGCAGATGCAAACTCCAAGGAATTTGTCTTGGCCATCATTATCTACCCAGTGCCTAGCACAGAACCTCATACATTGTAATACTGTATTTCATTCCTCAAGTTGCTTTGCAGGAAAGAAGAGAATGTTCAGATTTCCATAAAAGTTTTACTGTTCATTGTAAATTAATGAATTGATGCTCTAACTTACAAAATAAAAAAGAACATAGTCTAGTTAGTTATTAAGGAAATAAAAGAGAAAAACCCAATTAAAAAAAAAAAAAAAAGATGAGTACAGGCCAGGTACAGTAGCTTATTCCTGTAATCCCAGCATTTTGGGAGACCAAGGTGGACAGATCACTGGAGCCCAAGAGTTCAAGACCAGCCTGGCAAACAGACTTAGACCGTTCCTACAAAAACTTTAAAAACTAGCCGGGTGTGGTGGTGCACACCTGTAGTTCCAGCTATTTGGGAGACTGAAGTGGGAAGATCACGTGAGCCCAGGAGATTGAGGTTGTAGTGAGCCAAGACTGTACCACTGCACCCCAGCCTGGGCCACAGAGTGAGAACCTGTCTCAAAACAAACAAACAAACAAAAGAAACGACCCATGAAACTGCTCAGGCCATCAAGGGTATGCATATACAAAAAGCCACCAAGTATATGAAAGATGTCACTTTGGCCAGGTGCTGTTGCTCACACCTGTAATCCCAGCACTTTGGGAGGCTGAGGTGGGCAGATTATCTGAGGTCAGGAGTTTGAGACCAGCCTGACCAACATGGTGAAACCCCATCTCTACTCAAAAGACAAAATTAGCTGGGTGTGGTGGCACATGTCTGTAATCCCAGCTACCTGGGAGGCTGAGGCAGGAGAAGTGCTTGAACCCGGGAGGTGGAGGGTGCAGTGAGCCAAGACTGTGCCACTGCACTCCAGCCTGGGCAACAAGAGTGAAACTCCATCTCAAAAAAAAAAAAAAGGAAACGCTGCTTTACAGAAACAATGTGTGCCATTTCCACACTACAATGATGGAGATAGTAGGTGGTCCCAGGCCAAACAGCATGGTTGCACACGGGGTCAGTGGCCAAAAAACAGTACTGAATTAAGCACAGACTGTGCTTAAAAATGCACAGTCATGCCGAACTGAAGGGTTTAGGTGCAGATTCTCTGGTCATTGAGCATGTCCAGGTGAACAAAGCACCCAAGATGTGCTGCCTGATGTAAAGAGCTCATGGTCAGATTAACCCATACATGAGCTCCCCCTGCCACACCAAGATGATCCTCATGGAAAAAGAACACATTATTCCTAAACCAGAAGAGGACATTGCACAGAAGAAAAAGATATCCCAAGGCCAGGCACGGTGGTTCATGCCTGTAATCCCAGCACTTTGGGAGGCCGAGGTGGGTGTATCACTGGAGGCCAGGAGTTCGAGACGAGCCTGGCCAACATGGCAAAACCCCATCTCTACTAAAAAAAATCAAAAATTAGCTGGTGTGGTGGCGTGTGCCTGTAATCCCAGCTACTCAGGAGGCTAAGGCAGAACAATCACTTGAACCCAGGAGGCAGAGGTTGCAGTGAGCCAAGATCATGCCACTGCACCCTAGCCTGGGCAACAGAGTGAGACTCTGTCTCAGAAAAAAAAGAAAAGAAAAAAAAAAGAAAAAAAAATTGAAGAAACAAAAACTGATAGTATGGGAATAAATTCAGCACAAAATAAATGCAAATAAAAGTTAAAAAAAAAAACCCGGTAAGTGAAAAAAAAATTTTTTTTTTTTTTTTTTTTTTTTGAGATGGAGTCTCCCTCTGTCACCCAGGCTGGAGTGCAGTGGTGCAATCTCGGCTCACTGCAACCTACACCTCCCAAGTTCAAGTGATTCTCCTGCCTCAGCCTCCTGAGTACCCGGGATTACAGGCACCTGCCACCACGCCTAGCTAATTTCTGTATTTTGAGTAAAGTCAGTGTTTCACCACGTTGACCAGGCTGGTCTCAAACTTCTGACCTCAAGTGATTCATCTGCCTTGGCCTCCCAAAGTGCTGGAATTACAGGTGTGAGTCACTGCGCTGGACCAGTAAGTGAGAAACTAAAATGCAACATAAGACAGAGGTTGTTTTATGTATGGCACAAATGGAAATGATAAGGAAATAAACCCTTTTGACCCTAGGCCTAAGAAAAGCTTTCTATTAATATATGGAAAGGTATATAGTTAAATGATGGATGAAGAAAGGCTAAACAAAAAATAGTATAATAGAGGCAGGGTGCAGTAACATTGGTTCATGCCTGTAATCTCAGCATTTTAGGAGGCCAATGGGTGGATCCCTTGAGCCCAGGAGTTCAAGACCAGCCTGGGAATGGTGAAACCCCATCTCTACAAAAAAATGTAACAATCAGCTGGGTGTGGTGGCATGCCTATAGTCCCAGTTACTTGGGAGGCTGAGGAGGGAGGATCGATTAAGTCCTGGAGTTCAAGGCCACACTGAGGTGAGCTGTGATTGCACCACTGCACTGTAGCCTGGGTGTTCTGTCACCAAAAAAAAAAGTATAATATACACATAGCTAACAGCTAAAGTGATTTGTACCTACTGCACTGGCAAAGAAATAATTAAGATGTGGGATTTACACCCCACCTCTGACCAATCCTCCCAACTCCAGTCACCCACTGTATTAAGAAAGATGTCCCTGGCTCGGTCTGTGCTTCAGCACTCTTACCTCGAGTGCTGGTGTATCCCAAGGAGCTGCTGACTTCATACTGGTGCAGGTGGGGGTGTGGGATCATCAGGATGTTGGCGCTCTTGCCCAGGGAGCTGTCATCAGAAGCCTGGCTCCTCACTTCCTCAGTGGGTAGTGTGCGGCTTGGTAGGGAAGGGCTGGATGAAACATCACAGGAGCTGGCACTCTTTCGACTGTGATTCTCTCGCTCTCGCACAGACCTGCCAGGCAAGAGACAAAAAGTTACCATCAAGCGAAGGATGCTGTCCTACCTCAAGTTAAAACTCTAAAACCCATCACCAGCCCAAGCCACATGGGAACCCAATAACAAAAATCCCCAGTGTGATCTACAAGCAGGAAACCTATATGTGGTACTTCACCCTTAACAGCTTGAGATGTTATATAAGAGAGGAGAGAAATGACAGACATTATGTGGCCAAAGTCCTAGGATCATAGTTGCAAAGAAAGGACTGCTCCAGGCTGACCCCACCTGATCCCACTGATTAATCTCACATCACAAAAAACAGAATGAGAAGAGAGATAGGATGTGATGTGGGAGAAAGTACACAGTGCCTGGGAAGTGTTCTCACCCTCAAATTTGAATCTAAATCTAATCAAGCTTCCAGAGATAATTGCCAGTTTACAGGGAATCTGCAGAATAGAGGAAAACTTAAACATTACAAGGCAACAATCAGCCAAATGTAGAAAGCAAGGCATTCTACTGTCACACACACACAAAAAAGACATTATAACCAAATGCAAAAAGTGTATCTTGTTTAGGTCCCATTTCAAACTAACTGCAAAAGCACATTTTTGAGGCAATTCAGAAAACTGAGCATGCACTGGCTATTAGACGGCATTTAGGGATTAGTGTTAATTTTGTTACCAATGATAATGGTATTGCGATTTTTTTTTTTTAATTCTTATTTGTTGAAATGTATACTAATCAGCTTTGTGCCAGGCTGGGTGACACTAAATAAATAAATAACATGTAAAAAAAGAAAGAAACTTACGCTGAAGTACGCACTATTGAAAAAAAAAATACAGGCTGCCTGGGATTTGTTTGTTTGTTTTTGTGAGATGGAGTCTCACTCTGTCACCCAGATTGGAGTGCAGTGGCGCGATGTCAGCTCACTGAAGCCTCCACCTCCTGGGTTCAAGCGATATTCCTGCCTCAGCCTCCTAAGCAGCTGGGATTATAGGCGCCCACCACCACACCTGGGTAATTTTTTTGTATATTTAGTAGAGACTGGGTTTCACCATGTTGGCCAGGCTGGTCTCAAACTCCTGACCTCAAGTGATCCACCCGCCTTGGCCTCCCAAAGTTCTGGGATTACAGACGTGAGCCACTGTGCCCTGCCAATCCTGGGATTTGTTTTTAAAATACTCCATCCAAAATTTAAATGTGGGAGAGGTGATGAAACAAGGCTGACAACATGGTGATAACTGTTCATAATACTAGTCTCTATTTGAGCATGTCTGAACATTTCCTAATAAGAGTTTATATATATCATTATATTTATGTATTATATATATACACACACACACAATATATATATATATCCTTATTAAAACATAAAATTCCCTAAGGGGAAAACCTCTAAAAGCAACAGGAAGAAGGATCAAAAGGAGAAAAGCCCTATAGAGATGCAAAAGCTCAGAACGAAAGAGTAAGCCCACCAACAGGGCTGCCCTTGTGGCATCAGAGCTACTCCCTTTCCTCCTGCAAGAATTTTTTTAGTAAGAGCTTAAACGGAGCCTGAAAACAGATTCAAAGTGCTGACTACATGTTTGTTCTTTCCACAGTAAATATTTAAACACCAGTATATGCTTAGCCATGTGTAAAGGTAGAGCACCAATTAAGACACAATTTGTGCCTTCAGAGACCACACAACCTGGGTACCACAAGGTCTTGTCATCTTTGATTAGACAAAAGAAAACCAATCTTGAACTATGAGAGCATTTTTAAAGACTACAAAGAAAAGCCCCTCAGTAGCTCTTACTGAGCCCCTAAGCAGCATCCACACACAGGAGAGAGGGTGCTGACAGCACTTAATTCTGAGCTCTAAGCATTCTCGGGTAGGACTGGATGAGGGAAGAGGACAGAAAACAATCATGTGGTCACTCTAAGTTCATTTGCCACAAAATTAAGAGACATAATATTATTCCACTCAGTTGTGCTTAAAGCTACAGAATTAAGAAATCTGGCCAGGCGCAGTCATTCATGCCTGTAATCCCAGCACTTTTGGAGGCCAAGGTGGGTGGATCACCTAGGGTTGGGAGCTTGAGACCAGCCTGACCAACATGGAGAAATCTCGTCTCTACTAAAGATACAAAATTAGCCAGGCGTGATGGCGCATGCCTGTAATACCAGCTACTCAAGAGGCTGAGGCACGAGAATCGCTTGAATCCAGGAGGCGGAAGTTGTGGTGAGCCGAGATCACGCCGTCGCACTCCAGCCTGGGCAACAAGAGCAAAACTCCATCTCAAAAAAAAAAAAAAAAAAAAGAAAGAAAGAAATTTGGAAAATTGGTTGGGCACAGTGGCTCACGCCTGTTAATCCCAGCACTTTGGTAGGCAAAGGCAGGCGGATCACAAGGTCAGGAGATTGAGACCATCCTAGCTAATATGGTGAAATCCGGGCTCTACTAAAAATACAAAAAATTAGCCGGGCGTGGTGGTGGGTGCCTGTAGTTCCAGCTACTCAGCAGGCTGAGGCAGGAGAAAGGATTGAACCCGGGAGGCGGAGCTTGCAGTGAGCCGAGATCGCACCACTGCACTCCAGTCTGGGTGACAGAGCGAGACTCCGTCTCAAAAAAAAAAAAAAAGAAAAAAGAAATCTGGAAAATTGATTCACAGTATTTGGTACACAGGGAAAGAAATATAAGCTAGAGTTGTTTCACACATTCATGAAAAAAGAAAGTTGACATAAATAATATAAACATAAGCATAAAATCCAAGATGAGGCCGGGTGCGCTGGCTCAATCTGTAATCCCAGCGCTTTGGGAGGCCAAGGCGGGTGGACCACTTGAAGTCAGGAGTTTGAGACCAGCCTGGCCAACATATTGAAACCCCGTCTCTACTAAAAAATATAAAAATTAGCCGAGTGTGGTGGTGCATGCCTGTAATCCCAGTTACTTGGGAGGCTGAGGCATAAGAATCGCTTGAACCCAGGAGGCAGAGGCTGCAGTGAGAAGAGATTGCACCACTTCACTCCAGCCTAGCAGACAGAGCAAAATGCCATTTCAAAAAAAAACAAAAACAAAAACAACAACAACAACAAAAATCCCCCAAGACTATAAAATATTAGAAGAAAATATGAAATATTCACCTGTAACTCTGGGGTAGAGAGTGTTTTCTTACACAAGACCCAGAAATGAATAGATCAGTAAATCTAACTATATCACAATTAAAAACTACTACATGGCTGAGTGCAGTGGCTCACACCTATAATCTCAGCACTTTGGGAGACTAAGGCGGGAAGATGGCTTCAACCAGGAGTTTGAGACCAGCTGGCAATATGTAAGACCTCATCTCCACAAAAAATTAAAAAACTAGCTGGACATGATGGTGCATGCCTGTAGTCTCAGCTACTTGGAAGGCCAGAGGCAAGAGAATCCAGGAGGCAGAGGTTACAGTGAGCCATGATCGTGACACTGCACTACAGCCTGGGTGACAGAACGAGATCCTGTCTCAAAAAAAACCAACTACCATATGACCAAAACACCACAGAGCACATTTTTTTTTTTTTTTTTTTTTTGAGACAGAGTCTCACTCTGTGGCCCAGGCTGGAGTGCAGTGGTGTGATCTCGGCTTACTGTAAGCTCCGCCTCCGGGGTTCACGCCATTCTCCTGCCTCAGCCTCCCGAGTAGCTGGGACTACAGGCGCCTGCCACCACGCCCGGCTAAATTTTTTTTGTATTTTTAGTAGAGACAGGGTTTCACCATGTTAGCCAGGATGGTCTCGATCTCCTGATCTCGTGACCTGCCCACCTTGGCCTCACGCAGCAAATTTTTAAAAGCAGGACTTAAAGAAAGAAAAGTTCTTGCCCACTCAGAATAATAAACTTAAAAGAAATGCTGTGTCCAAGGATAGTGCCAGCCTGATGAGAGGAAGATTGTGGAATTTGTGAATTGTTTCCCTTGGCTCAGAAGACCATAAGAACCAGCCAGGCACGGTGGCTCACACCTATAATCCCAGCACTTTGGGAGGCCGAGGCAGGAGGATCACTTGGGGCCAGAAGTTCAAGACCAGTCTGGCCAACATGGCGAAACCCCATCTCTACAAAAAATATAATTATTAGCTGGGCGTGGTGGCGCGTGCCTTTAATCCCACCTACTCAGGAAGCTGAGGCAGGAAAATTGCTTGAACCCAGGAGGCAGAAGTTGCAGTGAGCCGAGATTGTGTCATTGCACTCCAGCCTGGGCGACACAGTGAGACTCCATCTCAAAAAACAAAACAAGATGGGCACAGTGGCTCACGCCTGTAATCCTAGCACTTTGGGAAGTCGAGGCAGGCAGATCATCTGAGGTCGGGAGTTCAAGACCAGCCTGACCAACATGGAAAAACTCCATCTCTACTAAAAATACAAAATTAGCCAGACATGATGGTGCACGCCTGTTATCCCAGCAACTTGGGAGGCTGAGGCAGGAGAATCGCTTGAACTCGGGAGGTGGAGGTTGCGGTGAGCCGAGATCGCACCATTACACTCAAGTCTGGGCAACAAGAGCGAAACTCCATCTCAAAAAAACAAAACAAAACAAACAAAAAACCCAAAATGAAACAAAACAAAACAAGAAAAGATTTTCAAGGTTGCTCTCTTAGAGGCCACTACTGAACTTCAGGTTTTCCTACACAATTTTTATATGCACCCCCAAGTGAATCTGGCAGAAAACCTGCAGGTGGCGAGGCACTGGGCCCGGGATGGGCCGGGCAGCCGGAACACTTGAGCGTCATAGGCATCATAATCTACTTGGATGGGAAGGGCGTTCTCAGATTCTTTTGGACTCCCAAGAGCTGAAATACACAAATAACATAAATTGTTATCAAAAACATTTCAAACAGATGCCTGAGAGCTGAAATACACAAATAATATAAATTGTCATCCAAATACATTTCAAACAGATGCCTTCAGATAATCTTCACCAGAATCTGCAAGGTACAGGTGATCACCCTCTCCATGAAAAAATGGGGTAACAACCTATTCATCAAGTAGAGACTAAATGACGTATATGTCAAAGCAATATAGAACTGTATAGCACTAAATAAAGGCAAGGTGTGGATAGCATTTCATCCTTTTGTGACCCTTCTTAAAATAAATCATCTTAATATGTTTAGTAGTTTAAAACTTTCTACCTGATCCCTACAAATGGCCGATGGAAAAGAAAAACAAGTTTTTTTCATTTTGCAGATGACAGGAAAAAATATAAGGTCATTAAGGGATCCTGCAAACATGACACAAAGGGTACTCAGGTCTCCTGACTTTTCCACAGATTTTTTATGGGACTTCACATAGTTTTGTCGTCATGGGTAACATGATGTTTTTTTTTTTTTTTTTTTGAAACGGAGTCTTGCTCTGTCACCCAGGCTGGAGTGCAATGGTGTGATCTCGGCTCACTGCAACCTCTGCCTCCTGGGTTCAAGCAATTCTCCTGCCTCAGCCTCCTGAGTAGCTGGGATTACAGGTACCCGCCATCATGTCCGGCTAATTTTTTTGTATTTTTTTAGAGATGGGATTTCACCATGTTGGCAAGGCTGGTCTTGAACTCCTGACCTCTGGTGATCCACCCACCTTGGCCCCCCAAAGTGCTGGGATTACAGGCGTGAGCCACCGCACCCGGCCAGCTGACTCTTTTTTTAAAAGCAAGAAAAAAAATCTCAAAAAATACTCACATGTATCACGGCCATTTTTTGCTTTCTCAGAGGCAGGCTGAAAAATTAAATAGATAATTAATCACTCCTTCCTTTGCTAGAAAAGAACTTATCACAAGGCACAGTGTGTATGTGCTGCTCCCAGGGTAGAGAGCCTGTAACTGATGGAAAGGCAGGAGCTAACATCTGACACTTACCTACCACGGTCCTTTATTCCCACATCACATCTTGCTGACTCTCACAACCCTGTCCAATGAGGGAATGGACTCCTCCTTACAAGTGGGGATATTCAATTGCAGAGAGAATGAGGGACTTTACCCAAAGCCACACATTCAGCAGGTGGCAGAGCCAAAATTCAAGCCCAGATCTTTAGATTCTTGGTCAATCCACTGTTGTGTTTGTGCCACCACAGCTAGATCCCACCTGACCCAAATGCTGCATGCTTCCCCCTTCACTATGGTGCTGTCACCTGTCTGCCTGCACCTACCAGAGCTGAGCACTCTGTAGATCACCCAATTTGCCGAAATCAAGTACAAGGGTAGAGGAAAAAAGCTAATAAAGCTATCACTTTTTACATTTTCTTAAAAATCTTTTTCAGATTAAATAAATAAAGGCCAGGCACAGTGGCTCACGCCTATAATCCCAGCACCTTGGGAGTCCAAGGCGGGAGGACTGCTTGAGCCCAGGAGTTTGAGACTAGCCTGAGCAATATAGTGAGACCCCATCTCTATTTATGTAATTTTTTTTGGTAATCTTTCAGGACCCTGAAACCTTTCACAATACTAACTCTTGCTTCTTTAAAATAATCATGGTAGAGGCCGGGCGCGGTGGCTCAAGCCTGTAATCCCAGCACTGTGGGAGGCCGAGACGGGAGGATCACGAGGTCAGGAGATCGAGACCATCCTGGCTAACACGGTGAAACCCCGTCTCTACTAAAAATACAAAAAAAAACTAGCCGGGCGAGGTGGCGGGCGCCTGTAGTCCCAGCTACTCCGGAGGCTGAGGCAGGAGAATGGCGTAAACCCGGGAGGCGGAGCTTGCAGTGAGCTGAGATCTGGCCACTGCACTCCTGGGCGACAGAGCGAGACTCCGTCTCAAAAAAAAAAAAAATAATAATAATAATCATGGTAGCCGGGTACAATGGCTCATGCCTGTAATCCCAGCACTTTGGGAAGCCGAGGCAGGCAGAACACCTGAGGTTGTCAGGAGTACCAGCTTGGCCAACATGGTGACAACCCGTCTCTACTAAAAATACAAAAATTAGCTGGGTACAGTGGCTCACACCTGTAATCCCAGCACTTTTGAAGGCCAAGATGGGTGGATCATCTGAGGTCAGGAGTTCAAGACCAACCTGCCAACATGGTGAAACCTCTTCTCTACTAAAAACGCAAAGAAATTAGCTGGGCGCAGGGGTGGGCACCTGTAATCCCAGCTACTCTGGAGGCTGAGGCAGGAGAAGCACATGAACCCAGGAGGCGGAGGTTGCAGTGAGCCGAGATCGTGCCATTGCACTCCAGCCTGGGTGACACAGCGAAACTCTATTTCAAAAAAATAAATAAAATAAAATAAAATTTAAAAAATACAAAAATCAGCTGGACATGGTGGTGCACGCCTGTAATCCTGTAATCCCAGCTACCTGGGAGGCTGAGACAGAAGAATCACTTGAACTCTGGAGGCAGGGGTTGCAGTGAGCCAAGATCGCACCATTGCATTCCAGCCTGGGCCAGAGAGAGAGAGAGAGACTCCATCTCAAAAAAAAAAAAAAAAAAAAATTAGGCATGGTGGCATGCACCTGTAGTCCTACCTACTGGGGAGGCTGGGGCACGAAAAATGATTGAACCCAGGAGGCAGAGGTTGCAATAAGCCGAGATCCCACCACTACACTGGGCATGACAGAGCAAGACTGTCTCAAAAAAATAAAATAAAATAATCATGGTGCAGAGAAGTTTTTCCATGTTCTACTTGGCTGAGAATGCTTGTGGTGAAGGCAAGAGAGGCCCTTTCTGGACAGAATCCCACCTCCTAGCGTTTCACTATCTGACATGGCTTATGCTAGGAGTTCTCAGCTTGCTCCAAATTAGTATTTCCCCTATTAGAAGAGTAACATTAACAGCCCTCCCCGCTAAAAAAAGAAAAGGGAAGAAGTGGCCCTGACACACAGCCACAAATGGAGCAACCCTCAGTGAATTCAGCTCTACTGGAAAGGGCAGAGGGGTGAAAGCACTCGGGTGTGGGGACTGCAAACATAACAGCCTGCTTTACTTCTCACAGTACATCAAAACCACTTGTTCGAGTTCTGGCTGGGCACAGTGGCTCACGCCTATAATCCCAGCACTTTGGGAGGCTGAGGCAGGCCGGTCACTTGAAATTAAGAGTTTGAGACAAACTTGGCCAACATGTGAAACCCTGTCTCCACTAAAAATACAAAAATTAGGCCAGGTGTGGTGGCAGGTGCCTGTAATCCCAGCTACTCGGGAGGCTAGGGCACGAGAATTGCTTGAACCTGGGAGGCAGAGGTTGCAGTGAGCCGAGATCACACCACTGCACTCCAGCTTGGGAGATAGAGCAAGATTCCATCTCAAAAAAACAAACAACAACAACAAAAAAAACACTTGTTCAAGTTCTTTAAAATTGCATTTTTACCAGTTGCAAATATATTCCATCAAGTGGATATTTCATAGTTCAGCCATTGCTCTATTGTTTTCAGCTTCTATTATGAATAAAACTAAACCTAGAAGTATTTGCATATAATCACTTCAATTATTTCCTGACACCACGTGCCCCAAAATGGAAGTGCCTGGTCAAATAGCATAAACATTTGCTCTCAATACACAAGGCTGAAATGCTTTGCAAAAGTAACATACACCAACCAGGTACTCCAGTGTCAATTTCACCACACTTTTTGTAGCATGTGGTATAATTATTAATATATTTTAAATGTGGTATAATTATTAATATATTTTAAATGTGGTATAATTATTAATATATTTTAAACCTCTTTGGAAAGAAGAAAACAAGAACTCCCATTCTTGCTACAATTTTCATTTATTTTCTTGGTTGGTTTGTTTCTAGAGACAAGATCTCAGTCACCCAGGTTAGTGTGCGATGCTACAATTATAGCTCACCACAGCATTGGATTCCTGGGCTCGGGCAATCTTCCCATTTTAGCCTCCCAAGTAGCTGGGACTTACAGGTATGCGCCACCCTACCTGGCTAATTCTTTTTTAGTTTTTGTAGAAATGGGGTCTCACTATATTTGTTGCCCAGATTGGTCTCAAACTCCTGGCTTCAAACAATCCTCCCTCCTCAGCTACACAAAGCACTGGGGTTACAGGCAAGAGCCTCTGCACTCAGTCAGAATTTTCACCTCTTTATACTAAGATCTGACCTTTTGGCCGGGCGCGGTGGCTCAAGCCTGTAATCCCAGCACTTTGGGAGGCCAAGACGGGCAGATCATGAGGTCAGCAGATAGAGACCATCCTGGCTAATACGGTGAAACTCCGTCTCTACTAAAAAATACAAAAAAACTAGCCGGGCGAGGTGGCAGGCGCCTGTAGTTCCAGCTACTCGGGAGGCTGAGGCAGGAGAATGGCGTAAACCCGGGAGGCGGAGCTTGCAGTGAGCTGAGACTGCACCACTGCACTACAGCCTGGGTGACAGAGCGAGCAAGACTCCGTCTCAAAAAAAAAAAAAAAAAAAAAGATCTGACCTTTTTATCATATTTCCCCTTTGCTGCAATGCATATCTGTATCTTTGTCTTTATTCCCACTGGTATCTGAGTGACATCAGCATCTGAATAAAACAGTCATGTCATCATAAAATGAACTCTTGAAAAACAAAAAAGGAACTCTTAGTCTTGGTCATATTTCTGCCAAAGGTATTTCACGCAGTCTGGCTTTGGCCTTGTTATTTATTTATCTAATATATAAAGTTATAAAGCTTGGGGATGAATTTCTTAACCCTGTTCATGGCCATGGGGGAAGATGAGGGTACCTCAGGACTAAAATAACCCTATCAGTGTGTGACAGTCCACAAAGGCTCTCTGCTGATTAATGCAATCTACCTTCTTGGCTGGGCAGAATGGCTCATGTCTGTAATCCCAACACTTTGGGAGGCTGAAACAGGAGGATTGCTTGAGTCCAGGAGCTCAAGATAAGACTGGACCACATAGTAAGAACCCCTCTTAACAAAAATAAAAACCTACCTTCTTTCCTGCCAGTTTTATTCGTGGGGTGAAACTATTACAAAAGAGCTGGCTTTTGGATGTGTAGAAACTGTAAAAGAAACAAACAGAGTCATTAATCTAAATCCCCTTTATTTTAAAAACTCACTCAAAACACAGTTAAAATACTAGGCATGGATCAGCCCTCCTGAGATGGGCTTTGTTCTCAGCTTCACTGATCTTTCCAATTTTAACTTCTTTTGCAAGAAGTCACTACAAAACATTAGTTATATTTTGTTTTTTGGTAGAGACAGTCTGGCTACATTGATCAAAATGGTTTCAAACTCCTGGCCTCAAGCGTTCCTCCCACCTCAGCATCCCAAAGTACTGGGATTACAGGCATGAGCCACCGTGCCCGGCCTGAAATTGCTACTTTTGTAGGTCAAAAACAGTCTAATATCATGATATCAAATAGTATAAATTAATAGCTGCAACTTTGCCATGAACTTGCTGTTCAAGACCAGGTTGGCCAACACGGTGAAACCCTGTTTCTACTAAAAATACAAAAATTAGCTGGGTGTGGTGGCAGGCACCTGTAATCCCAGCTACTCAGGAGGCTGAGGCAAGAGAATTGCTTGAACCCAGATGGTGGAGGTTGCAGTGAGCCAAGATCGTGCCACTGCACTCCAGCCTGGGCGACAGAGCGAGACTCCATCTTAAAAAAAGAAAGAAAGAAAGACAACCCAGAGAAGGAGAGAATGCTCTGGAAGCACTGAAGAAAAAGTGGCTATTAGTTATCAGGGCAGCACAGAAGTAATTCACAGAAGAGAGATGCTGGAGTTGGATCTTGGAAGAAAATAGGCATTTTCAAGAGAAGGGTAGATGGAATAAGATTAGTGTCATAGTTCAAAAAGATGAGGCACTGGCACTAGCAGAGGGATGAGAAAAGCCATCTCTGAACTGGAACCAGCAGGAACACTGAAGTCTTGTCCCATAAAGAGGCGCAGAGACTTATCTAGAGCTGAAGGAAGTCAGGCACAAATGTTGGTCTTCTACGGTCTGTGGGAGTTGGGAATAGAAGGACTTGGGAACAGCAGTGGAAGTCAGTCAGTCCTTAAAATTTTGTTTTTATTCTTTTTCACCATAGACTGTCCATATGATACTGCTACTGCTTTGCGTGTAGAGAACTTTGAGCAAATGTTAGAACTTGGTTTCCACATTTTCTTGACAAAAGGTTTAGTGCCATGATAAGAACTTAACAAATTTAAAGAAAAATGGCAAGGAAGCTGTCAAAACTCTTATCACCTACTATTGATTGAGATCACACCCACCTGTGGTTTATCCAGTGAGGGATATTATAGTCATCGCCCAGACGAGAATCCCGGGGAGCACTCCGATTATGGAGCTGCAAGGGGAAAAATGAGAGCACAGATAAGCTACAGAACAAGTAGGATGTGGAACTGCTCTAAATTTTCTGTTTTTGGGGTTTTAAAAAAAAATTTTTTTTTTTTTTTTTTTTTGAGACGGAGTCTTGCTGTGTCGCCCAGGCTGGAGTGCAGTGGCACGATCTCAGCTCACTGCAAGCTCTGCCTCCTGGGTTCATGCCATTCTCCTGCCTCAGCCTCCGGAGTAGCTGGGACTACAGGCGCCCGCCACCTCGCCCGGCTAGTTTTTTTTTGTATTTTTTAGTAGAGACGGGGTTTCACTGTGTTAGCCAGGATGGTCTCGATCTCCTGACCTCGTGATCCGCCCGTCTCGGCCTCCCAAAGTGCTGGGATTACAGGCTTGAGCCACCGCGCCCGGCCAAAAAAAAATTTTTTAGGGCCAGACATGGTGGCTCAAGCCTGTAATCCCAGCACTTCGGGAGGCCAAGGTGGGCGGATCACCTGAGGTCAGGTGTTCGAGACCAGGCTGGCCAACATGGTGAAATCCCGTTTCTACTAAAAATACAAAAATTAGCCAGGCGTGGTGGCAGGTGCCTGTAATCACAGCTACTCAGGAGGCTGAGGCAGGAGAATTGCTTGAACCCGGGAGGCAGAGGTTGCAGTAAGCCAAGATCGCGCCATTGCACTCCAGCCTGGGGGACAAGAACAAGATTTCGTCTCAAAAAAAAAAAAAAAATTTTTTTTTAGAGATGGAGTCTTGCTTTGCTGACCGGGCTGGAGTGCAACAGTTATTCACAGTTATTTATAACAAACTATACCCAAACTCCTAGGCTCAAGGGATCTTCCCACTTCAGCCTCTAGAGTAAGTGGGACTATAAGCGCATGCCACAGCGCCTGGATTTTTTCTAACTATACTCAAACTGGCCTTTAGTAAGCAAATCCAAAATCTAATTACCTTGAACAATGGGACAGCATGTAACGGTTGCTCTCCCATACACACCAAGTCCACACCAATTCCTAAAAAAATAAAAGACAAAAAGAGTTGTGGGGAGGGAATGGCAGAGACAAACACCCCTATCTATAAATCATGTTATTTAACTGTGTATTAGGCAAAGCTAACTTACCATTGTATGATTTATAACCTCATAGTGCTGCCTATGCAGCAAAGAAGTAAATACACTTTTTGAGACAGTCTCACTCTGCTGCCCAGGCTGACGTGCAGTCGTCAGAGATCACAGCTCTCTGCAACCTCTGCCTCCTGGGTTCAAGCAATTCTACTGCCTCAGCATCCCAACTCCATCTTGTTGATGAAACAAATCAAATTGTGGGGTGTGAGGCTGAGTTGGGGATACGAGGCACATCATGGAGGACTGGACTAGATTATCTGATAGTGCATCTGAAAACAGGCTGACAGCACATGGGTCCCTTGAAATCATCCCTCCAGGAAGGCTTCTCTAGTGCCAAATATATTTGGGAAACTCAGAGTACCCTGATACACCCTTTAGAGAAAAACAACCTACACTAACATATTAAAAACGGAGGAAGACCTGTCATTATGGAACCTGCTTATCTTTGCATGACCCGGCATTTCCCAAACTGATCTGACAATGAATCTTTAGCACCTGACGCCTACTGACATCCACAGATGTTGTGACACACAGAACACTATACAGAGCTCCTCACACTCTAAGAAGTCAGTGAAGCTCACAGTTCTAAGGGAAAATCAGGCTAGGAACATGTGGAGACAGGGCACAAACCAGAGAGTATTACCATTATCTATCATCCGCTGCTTGGTCAAGATCATGAGTAGGCGGTCCACTTCAAAGACACCCACCCCGGGCGTGATCACCACTGACATCTGCCCTGTTCGATCAAAGTTGCGGTTGATGTAATGCTTATCAAACACTAGAAATAAAACAAAAATTCCACAATAATGATGTTACAGTTTTTCAGAACCCCGTCATAAACAAGCATCTCTACACTCTCAGAGCATTCTGCCCATATTTTTATTTTATTTTATTTTATTTTATTTTATTTTATTTTGAGACAGAGTCTTGCTCTGTCACCAGGCTGGAGTGCAGTGGCGTGATCTGGGCTTACTGCAACCTCCGCTTCCCAGGTTCAAGCAATTCTCCTGCCTCAGCCTCCTGAATAGCTGGGACTACAGGTGCATGCCACCACACCTGGCTCATTTTTTGTATTTTTAGTAGAGACGGGGTTTCACCATGTTGGCCAGGATGGTCTCGAACTCCTGACCTCAGGTGGTTCGCCCACCTCGGCCTCCCAAAGTGCTGGGATTACAGGCGTGAGCCACCGCACCCGGGCCATATTTTTATTATAGCAACTGCCACATTCTAGTTAAATGTATACACATCTATCTTTTCTATATTAAGAACTACTTGACCACAGGAATAAGTCTCTGTCACCTTTGTTAATACACCTCATTGATGCCTAATACTTGCCCTGTGCAGCCTTAAATGCTCAAATTTCATGCTGTTAGGGATGGGCACGGTGGCTCATGCCTGTAATCCCAGCACTTTGGGAGGCCGAGGCAGGTGGATCACCTGAAATCAGGAGTTTGAGACCAGGCTGGCCAACATGGTGAAACTCCATCTCTACCAAAAAATACAAAAATTAGCCAGGCACGGTGGTGTGCACCTATAATCCCAGCTACTTGGGAGGCTGAGATGGGAGAATCACTTGAACCCAGGTGGCAGAGGTTGCAGTGAGCAGAGATCATGCCACTGCATTCCAGCCTGGGTGACAGAGCAAGACTCTGTGTCAAAAAAAAGAAAAAAAATTCATGCTGTTAATTTGAACCATCCATAAATGTGTCTGTAGTAAAACTTTGATTATATTAGATTTTTTATATATTATGTATTATTTTATTATATATATAAACTATATAACTAGATTATATTACATAGTATTCATTTAAGACACTATTTAAAAGAGTAGACCAAAATCTTGGGATGATTTTGTAAATCTGGCAAGTCACTTTTTATTTCTAGCTTCTGTGATTCTTACTATGAAAAATCAGTGATATTCCAATATGACAAAAATATTTACTAATAGAAGACCTCATGCTCTAGAATTCCCCCTGCACCTGTGTACAGACACGTGGGAAGATGATATACACAGTGATGTGAATGTACATCATCACTTCCACCTCTGGCCAGTGACAGATGGACACCTAACTGGAGCTGGGCAGATCAGACTCTCTCTACGAGGAATGTGAATTCTGAACAGAGAGCAGAGACAGGGTTGCTGGAAGCTGAAATATGGCTCTCATAATTCCTGCTGCTATGGTTCCCAGAGCCACTAAGGTTCTTCAACATGGTGTTCAAGCCTTTCCTGGCTGCTCCACTTAAGCCTCTGTATTCTTACAGTAAACTTCCCTTTTTGTTTAAACTAAATCAATACATTTCTGTTATTTGCAAAGAATATATTTCAGCTAACACATAAATGCCGGGATAATCATACCACACTGCTAACAATGGTTCCCCTTAAAGAAGAGGACACTGGGGGTCAGGAGGAGAGTATTGTTTTTTACTTGGTTTATTTTATTTTATTTTATTTTATTTCAATTCATTTCATTTTATTGACAGTCTTAACTCCATCACCCAGGCTGGAATGCAGTGGCACCATCTCAGCTCACTTCAACCTCCGCCTCCCAGGTTTAAGTGATTTTCCTGCTTCAGCCTCCCAAGTAGCTGGTATGACAGGCATGCACCACCATGCCTGGCAAGTTTTTTATGTATTAGTAAAGATGGGGTTTTGCCATGTTGGCTAGGCTGGTCTTGAGCTCCTGACCTCAGGTGATCCCCTGCCTCAGCCTCCCAAAGTGCTGGTATTACAGGTGTCAGCCATTGCAGCAGGCCTATTTATTTAAAAAAAAAAAAAAAAAAAAAAAAAGGCTGGGCGCGGTGGCTCAAGCCTGTAATCCCAGCACTTTGGGAGGCCGAGACGGGCGGATCACGAGATCAGGAGATCGAGACCATCCTGGCTAACACGGTGAAACCCCATCTCTACTAAAAAAATATACAAAAACTAGCTGGCGAAGTCGTAGACCTGTATTCCCAGCTACTCGGAAGAACTGAGGCAGGAGAATGGCGTAGAACCGGAGGCGGAGCTGCAGTGAAGCTCAGATCCGGCCACTGCACTTAGCCTGGGCGGCAGGCAAGACTCCGTCTCAAGAAAAAAAAAAACTTTTTTTTTTTTTTTTTGAGATAGTGTCTTTCACCCAAAACTTTTTTTTTTTTTTTTGAGATAGTGTCTTTTTCACCCAGGCTGGAGTGCAGTTGCGTGATCTCCACTCACCACAACCTCCACCTCCCCGGTTCAAGTGATTCTCCTGTCTCAGCCTCCTGAATAGCTGAGATTACAGGCGTGTGCCACCATGCTGGCTAATTTTTGTATTTTTAGTAGAGACAGGGTTTCACCATGTTGCTCAGGCTGGTCTCAAACTCCGGACCTCAAGTGATCTGTCTGCCTTGACCTCCCAAAGTGCTGGGATTATACGTGTGAGTCACGGCATCTGGCTGCTTTTGTAATATTTTTCTTTAAGTAGATTTTAATTTTTTTAATTTTTATTTTAAATTTTTATTTTTTAAGTAGATTTTTAAAATATTACCTAGAAGCAGTTGAGGGATGGGGTGGAAAATAATAACACGGTTTGAGTAAGTCAAAGAACCCAAGGAGGATCCTTGTAGTTCCTGACCATGAGAAGCAGATGAGACTACCAAATTAACCGGTCAACAGAAGACCCAAGAGCTAAATGTTGGTCATTACAACCACCCAATGAGAAGCTATTGCTTTAAATTAATTTTAGGGGTAGCTGAATGGAGGCATCATCACCTAGGTCTGGGTCTGCAGGCATTCATAAAGAGACATGTATAGCTGTCAGAGGCCTTTAAACCAGAGCAACTCCATCTTGAATAGGGGCTGGGGACAATGAGGTTCAGACCTGCTAGGCTGCATTCCCAGGAGGTTAGGCATTCTTAGTCACAGGATGTTTACAGTTAAGGGAACAGGTTAATAATGTTTACCCAACAGACTCAGGACTTAACAGACCCAGGAAACGTCCTGATGTTCCAATTTTTTTTTTTTTTTTTTTTTTTTTTGAGATGGAGTCTCCCTCTGTCGCCCAGGCTGGAGTGCAGTGGTGTGATCTCAGCTCACTGCAAGCTCCGCCTCCAGTGTTCACACCATTCTCCTGCCTCAGTTTCTAGAGTAGCTGGAAATAAAGGGGCCTGCCACCATGCCTGGTTAATTTTTTGTATTTTTAGTAGAGATGGGCTTTCACTGTGTTAGCCAGGATGGTCTCAATCTCCTGACCTCATGATCCGCCCACCTCGGCCTCCCAAAGTGCTGAGATTACAGGTGTGAGCTACCGTGCCCAGCCCTGATGTCCCAATATCTTAAGAACGAAAGTATTCTTAGTTTAAGAGTAAGTTTTGCGGCCAGGCGCAGTGGCTCACGCCTGTAATCCCAGCACTTTGGGAGGCTGAGGTGGGCGGATCACGAGGTCAAGAGATCGAGACCATCCTGGCCAACATGGTACGTACAACTCTCTACTAAAAATACAAAAATTAGCTGGGTGTGGTGGCACGTACCTGTGATCCCAGATACTTGGGAGGCTGAGGCAGGAGAATCGCTTGAACCTGGGAGTTAGAGGTTGCACTGAGCAGAGATCATGC